CGCTCCGCCCTTTCTCCCTCGGGGCTCAGTCGCCCGCGCTCTTTCTGCGCTCAGCCAGCGGCCCGCGGGCCGATGGTCATGGGCGGCCTCTTGGGGCGCGCGGCGCTGCCGGGGCTGCTGAGCAGCCCGCGGGCCCCGGGCCCGAGCCTGCTCGCACGCCCGAGCTCGGGTGAGTGGCCCGCGACCGGCGGAGGAGGGAAGCGGGCGGGGGGGCGTAGCCCGGCCTTTGTTGGCGCGCGTGCGACCCCGTGGCTGCCTGATTCTGTAGATGGCCTCGGGTTCTCGCCGGGCGGGCCGGGGGCGCCCTGCACGTCGTTCCCCACGTCTCACTGCCCCCCTCTCCGATCCGCCCACCGCCCCAGGTTGCTCGGGGGCAGGGGGCCCCTGAGGGCTCCAGAGCAGGAGGCCTGGTGGCCACAGTAGACAGTGGTGAGGGTCCCAGCGGACTGGGGCTGCTGCTGGGGGGGGGGGGGGGAACATTTGGAGCAGATGAACACTCCCCACGGGGCCGCCGCCCTCGGGGTGTTTTCTCCAGGCCTTAACTCCGTCTGGTCCATCTCCGTCTGGGGTCCTAGGGCCCGTATCTGTAGCTGGTTCTCGCCCTGACGGCGGCACACAGGGCGCTCCCTGAGAGCCAGATGTCTTGGTGTTCCCAGCGCAGGAGGGAGTGAACTGCTATCTTCCGAGGGACAGGCCAGCTGGCAGCAGGCCAGGCTGCACGGAGAGCCCCTAGGCACTGGGCTTTAGGGGCACAAACCAGCCCCCGGGGGCTTCCTGCGCTGGGCTTCGTTCAGCCCTGAAGTGAGGTGGTGGGCGCCCACAGCCTGCTGTCCAGGCCCAGCGCATCTTTTTTTTTTTTTTTTTTTTTTAAGATTTTATTTATTTATTTGAGAGAGAGAATGAGAGAGAGAGAGAGAGCACATGAGAGGGGGGAGGGCCAGAGGGAGAAGCAGACTCCCTGCTGAGCAGGGAGCCCAATGCGGGACTCGATCCGGGGACTCCAGGATCATGACCTGAGCCGAAGGCAGTCGCTCAACCAACCGAGCCACCCAGGCGCCCCAGGCTGGGAAAGGGCAGCTGCAGACACCCCCGGGGACACTGGCCTGCCCTGGCTCTATCATTTGTCTTCCAGTTCTGCTCTCCCCCTGAGCAGGACTTGGCAGGACATCCAGGGTGTAGGCTCCTCTCAAAAGCACGTTTGGCCCTGGACCCAGGGCTGAGGGTAGGTGTAACTCTGTGGCCTGGGGCTATAAGGGGTGATGGTGCCTCCTGTCTTGCTGGCAGTGTCCCCTAGAGGACAGAAGGAGTGGGCCAGGGCTCAGTCCTGTACTTGGGTCTGGAAGCCGCTTGCCTCGAGCAGCACAGAGCTCCTCTGGCCAAGGAGGTTTTAAGTGGAGGAGCCCTCTAGAGTCTCCCCACCTGCAGACAAGAGCCCCTCTACTGGGCTTCTCAGTCCCTAGCTCCCTTGTGTCCTGCTGTGTGTGGCCCACCTGGGGGGGGGGGAGTGCACCGCACTACTCCCTAGCTCCCTGCTGTTCCTTCACCTCAGACCCACAAGATGAGCTTTGGGTCCTCCCTCATGGGGCAGGCTGGGAGTTCAGACGGCTAGGACAGGAGTGGAAAGCAGGGCCAACAACATGCTCTCTTTCCAGTGTGGCCTCTTTGGGCCTCTGTGTGGCCACTGAGCCCAGCTGTGCCTCCCCAGCTCTTGAAGATGCCTTCTCAGGGACATTGAATCCATCATGGGAGGAGCCATGGCCCCTCCCGACAGACTGGATGCACCAGGGGGCCCACTACCCTGTTGGTCCCTGAAAGGCAGAGTCATGCTGGGCCTTTGTTGGCTGTGGACCCTGCACTTCTCCCCTCCACGGCTGCTCTGGTGACCCCTGGGCTGTGGCAGGGGCATCCAGGTTCAGGGAGACGTGAAAGGGCGAGGCACCTGATTCCCCTTCTTCTAAAGGAGGGTCCTCCTGGACCCGGGAGCGGACCCTGGTTGCAGTGAAGCCAGATGGGGTGCAGCGGCGGCTTGTTGGGGATGTGATCCAGCGCTTTGAGAGGAGGGGCTTCAAGCTGGTGGGGATGAAGATGCTGCAGGTACCTGGGCTCTCGACCCGTGGGTGTCCTTGAAGGGACTGGGGGTGGGGGGCTTCTCATGGACCTCAGCCCTTCATATCTCAACCCTGTATCAGGAGGAGTATCCTGGTGTTGGCAGTAGAAGGAGGGGTGGGGAGGTATCAGCTGGTGTGCGAGCCCATGTAGGTGTTACTTGCCAAGTGCCCTGAGGTCAGGACAACATGATCACTGCCCCAGTGTCCAGTGGCTCCAGGGGCTCCTCTCACCCCTTGCCCCAATGCCACCCAGGCGCCAGAGAGAGTCCTTGCTGAGCACTACCATGACCTGCAGAGGAAGCCCTTCTACCCAGCCCTCATCAGCTACATGACCTCCGGCCCCGTGGTGGCCATGGTACGGCAGGCAGGGGCGGTGGAAAGGGTGGAGGGCCCCGGGCTGAGCCCAGAGCTGCTGAGTCCTTGGTGATCCCCACCTCTCCCAACCTCTTTTATCTCTGTGCTGCAGGTCTGGGAAGGCCCCAACGTGGTCTGCTCCTCAAGGGCCATGGTAGGACACACCAACTCAGCTGAGGCTGCCCCTGGCACCATCAGGGGGGACTTCAGCGTCCACATCAGCAGGTCTGGGGGCCCTGACACACTCAAGCCACTGGAGCTGATGGGCCAGCTCATTAGGGTTGAGGAAGGTCTGAGTGTGGGGTGGTAGGCTGCTCCTAAGGCAGACCCATGGGACCTGGGCATCTCGCTGGGCCACAGTAAAGCCACAAGAGATTTTCCATGCTGGGATGTCACACACAGGAGGTGATAAAGCATTCTCTATGCATTGTGTGTGTACTCTTCCATCATTTCCTATTACCTGACTCTGTCTTGCCAGACACCCTGAGGGGTTGGCATGGGACAACTGGTGGGAACATGAGGCTCCCAGAAATGGTCTGGGTTGGTCATGAGGTTGTGGGTAAGAGGCCAAGATCAGGCTGGAACCAGTCTTCCAGTCCTGTTCTTGCTTTCTCCTCTGCTCAATGCCGGGCTTGCTCTTCTTGACGGTGGGGGATTAGCAGATAGTTCCCAGGACCCCCAAGGTGCACACTGAAGTCTGTGCCTTACCTTTGCTGCCTATCATTTGGCACAGGAACATCATCCATGCCAGCGACTCCGTGGAGGGGGCCCAGAGGGAGATCCAGCTATGGTTTCAGAGCAGTGAGCTGGTAGACTGGGCAGACGAAGGCCACCAGAGAAGCATCTACCCACCCTGAGCACTCAGGCTGCCCTCAGCCACCCCAGCAGCCACCCAGGATCAACTACCTCTGTCGTCCAGAACTTGAGCCCACACCCATGGTCTGCCCTTCTGTCCCAGACCACCTCTCTGTCTACCTTCTGCCCCACCCCAGCCCAGAGGGGTTGAGCAACCAACTTTATGTGCCTTTCAGTATCCTAAGCCAGTAAGAAATCGGACCAAATCCTTTCTGTACCAAAGTGCCAGATAACCTTTGCGGCCTCTCCAAAAGTGTGTAGTGTAACCTCCCTTCCCCCAAAGGGGGGTGGGACATTAAAATTTGCTGTGTTGTGTAGGGGGGTGGATCGTTTATTACAGTTGCTGCCATCTCTGAGGTAGGACTTTATGCAAAGTTGTAAGAGTTTGAGAGTAGAAATAAAGCTTACTCTCACACACCACTAGGGGATCAATAACTTTGTTGAATGTATCAGACAGGCAGTGGTCCAAAGACCTACAGCCCAAAACGTGGGAGAATCCAAGCTGAGTCCTGGAGCTGGTGCTGCTTCAGCCCCCATTCATCTGATCATGCTGCATGAGGAGCTGCCTGCCTTGGGCAGGACTTGAGAGTGGCAAAAAGGGGTGATTATGGGGCCTGCTAAAACCACCCCTGGGGCAGAAGGCCTTTCATGGCCTCATATGGTGGAGACTGACTGGAGCTGCCTGTGTCTACTTGTTTTCACGTTGGCACTATACACATCACACCTCACCCCAGTCCTCAGATGTGTCCCTGGTCACTTGTCACGGGTACTGTACATTGCATATCATGACACCTGCTGCAGCCGCCTTGGTCCTCACTTACTCTACTTTTTGACATCTTTAAGATTGTTTATTTATTTATTTGACGGAGAGATAGTGAGAGCAGGAACACAAGCAGGTGGAGTGGGAGAGGGAGAAGCAGGCTTCCTGCTGAGCAGTGAGCCCGATGCAGGGCTCCATCCCAGGACCGTGGGATCATGACCTGAGCCGAAGGCAGACGCTTAACAACTGAGCCACCCAGGTGCCACCTTTTTGACATCTTTATAAATGATGCCCTGATCCTGGATTCACAGCACCTGTTGCTACATGTGCCTCCACGTGATGGCACCGATGAAGTGCCCTGACTTTCTTAATCGGTCATCAAACAGGTCATTTTAGGAATTGGCACTGGGGTTGGCCGCGTGAGGGGAAAGCTTTTCTTAGGGAACCACCTCTCCCGCCTCAAGAGCCTGCGCGCGCCGCGACCGAACTCCAGTCCCAGGAGGCGGCGCGGCAGCGGTGAACAGAAAATCCTAGGAGGAGCTAGGGCCGCTATGGGCGTGGCTAGCAGGCGGTGGGCCGCTGTGGGAGGAGCGTCACTGGAGGAACTGGAGGGGGCTGTGGGCGGGGCGTCCAGGGAAGAACTAGAGGCAGCTGTGGGCGGGGTTCGTGGGGCGGTCGGGTGCCGTGGGCGGGGCGTCCTGGGAGGGACCAAGAGGAAGCTGTGGGCGGGGCTAGCGGGGCGTCCTGGGCGGAACAGGAGACCGCTATGGGCAGGGCGTGATGGGAGGAACAGGAGGCGGGTGTGGGCGGGGCTAGCGGGGTGACCTGGGAGGAACCAGGAGACCTCTGTGGGCGGGGCGTGCTGGGAGGAACCAGGAGACCGCTGTGGGCGGGGCTGGCGGGGCGTCCTGGGCGGAAGAGGAGGTGGCTGTGGGCGGGGCTAGTGGGGCGCTCGGACGCCGGGGATCTGCCGGCTGGATCTCGGTCCTCGCCAGTTGTAGGGCGCTGACGGCTTGAGAGCGCGGCTGGTCTCGGAGGCCCCGCTGCTGCCGGATCCGGGCAGGTTCCTACTGTCCTCGCCGCCCCCGGCCCGCACCGAGAGCCATGGCCCAGCCGCCGCCCGACGTCAGTGAGGACGAGTGTCTCCCTGAGTACCGCCATCTCTTCTGCCCCGACCTGCTCTGGTGAGGGCCGAGTTGGGGGCTCCCGAGGCGGGGGCTGCTGCCTCTGCAGAAGTGGCTCGGGAACTGCGGTTTTACTGGGATGTGTGCGGACCCCGTGCCTGGCGGCCGGACCGTCTAGATATCTAGGTAGTTCCTGGGGACGCAAGCGCTCTGGTATTTTAACCTTTGCACTGTTGGGAGCACGTTTTGTCTTGGTCAGTGGGGGCGGGTGTTCCCAGGGGTAGTCCTGGGAGGGTGGGAGTGAGGGGCAGGTGGAGGAAGGCTTGTATGTTTTGAGAACCTTTCTCACCTAATTGATAACCTCATTATTGTTTCCAAGTAGGCTCCATGCCCAACGTGGGGCTTGAACTCATGACCCTGAGATCCAAAGTCTCAGGATCTATTGACTTAGCCACTCAGGCGCCCCTTAACTGATAACTTTCTGAATAGAGCTTTTTAGGTTGAAATAATTTTTCATGAAGACCCAGAAAGCCTAGGAATGCAGGCTTTAAAACGCAGCGTTTCATTTTCTTACAAAAGTCATCATGTTTTCTTGTCAACAATTCAGATCTGATAGAAGTGCCCAGTGAACGGGGTCAAAGTCTTCAGAGAACCACTGGCTTCCCCCCACCCCTAAGTCAACAGGGATCTCTCCCTCTCCTTTTCTTTAAATTTCAAGACTTTTATTCTGACTGTTCCTTTTTAAGTATTTTAAAATAAAATTTATCTTTTTAAAATTTAAATTCAATTAAAAAATAGTGTGTTAATAGTTTCAGAGGTAGAGGTCACTGAGTCATCAGTTCATATTAACACCCAGGGCTCCTTACATCATGTGCCCTCCCCAATGTCTGTCACCCAGTTACCCCATCCCTCCACTCCCCTTCCCTCCAGCAACCCTCAGCTTGTTTCCTAGAGTTAAGAGTCTCTCATGGGTTGTCTCCCTCTCTGATTTTGTCTTGTTTTATTTTTCCTTCCCTTCCCCTATGATCTGTTTTGTTTTTAAATTCCACCTATCAGATCATATGGTAATTGTCTTTCTCTGATTGGCTTATTATGCTTAGCATAATGCCCTCTAGTTCCATCCATGTCGTTGCAAATGGCAAGATTTCATTTTTTTTACATTATTAAATATATATATATACATTTTAAGATTTATTTATTTTTATTTATTTTTAAAGATTTTATTTATTTGACAGGGGAGAGACACAGCGAGAGAGGGAACACAAGCAGGGGGAGTGGGAAAGGGAGAAGCAGGCTGCCCGCGGAGCAGGGATCCCAATGTGGGGCTCGATCCCACGACCCTGGGATCATGACCTGAGCCAAAGGCAGATGCTTAACAACTGAGCCACCCAGGCACCCCTATTTTATTTTTTTTAAATATTTTATTTATTTATTTGACAGAGAGAGACACAGTGAGAGAGGGAACACAAGCAGGGGGAGTGGGAGAGGGAGAAGCAGGCCTCCCGCCGAGCAGTGAGCCCAATGTGGGGCTTGATCCCATGACCCTGGGATCATGACCTGAGCCGAAGGCAGACGCTTAACGACTGAGCCACCCAGGCGCCCCAAGATTTATTTATTTTAGAGAGAGAAAGAGAGAAAGACATGCACGCCTGTGTGCATACATGAGCAGGGAGGCAGGCAGAAGGAGAGGGAGAGAATCTCAAGCAGACTCCCCGCTGACAACCCTGAGATCATGACCTGAGCCAAAATCAAGAGTCAGATGCTTAACTGACTGAGCTACCCAGGCACCCCATATATTTAAAACCACTGGGCTCTTTCCATAGTTTGGCTATTGTGGACATTGCTGCTATGAACATTGGGGTGCATGTGCACCTTTGGATCACTACTTTTTTTTTTTTTTTTGAAGATTTTCTTTATTTGACAGAGAGACAGAGAGGGAATACAAGCAGGGCGAGTGGGAGAGGGAGAAGCAGGCTCCCCACTGAGCAAGGAGTTCAACACAGGGCTCGATGCCAGGGCCCTGGGATCATGACCTGAGCCGAAGGCAGATGCTTAACCGACTGAACCACCCAGGCGCCCCTCGTGAGAAATGCTTGTATTGCTATTTAATTCCCTCTTAGGACGCCTTTTCTGCATCCCAAAGGTTTTGAACAGTTGTGTTTTATTTTCACTTGTTTCTATGATTTTTTCAAATTCTTCCTTAATTTCCTGGTTGACCCATTCATTCTTTAGTAGGGTGCTCTTTAACCTCCATGTATTTGAGTTCTTTCCATATTTTCTCTTGTAATTGAGTTCAAGTTTCAAAGCATTGTGGTCTGAAAATATGTGGGGAATGATCCCAGTCTTTTGGTACCCATTGAGGCCTGATTTGTGACCCAGTATGTGACCTGTTCTGTAGACTGTTCCATGTGCACTCAAGAAGAATGTCGATTCAAAGCCTTTATTTCCTTGTTGCTCTTTTGCTTAGATGATCTGTCCATTACAGTGAGTGGAGTGTTAAAGTCCCTTACTATTATTATTTATTTATTTATTTTTTTAGATTTTATTTATTTGTGAGAGAGAATGAGAGACAGAGAGCATGAGAGGGAAGAGGGTCAGAAGGAGAAGCAGACTCCCTGCTGAGCAGGGAGCCCAATGTGGGACTCGATCCCGGGACTCTAGGATCACGACCTGAGCCGAAGGCAGTCGCTTAACCAACTGAGCCACCCAGGCGCCCCTAGTCCCCTACTATTATTGTATTAGTACCAGTGTGTTTCTTTAATGTCGTTACTAATTGGCTTATATAATTGGCTGTTTCTATGTTAGGGGCATAAATATTTACAATTGTTTCTCGTTGGATAGACCTTTTAATTATGATACAGTGTCCTTCCTCATCTCCTTAAAGTCTTTGACTTAAAATCTAATTTGTCTGATATAAGGATTGCTATTCCAGCTTTCTTTCTTTTTTTTTTAAGATTTTCTTTATTTGTCAGAGAGAGAGAGCATGTGCTCTCTCGAGAGCAAGCAGCAGACAGAGGGAGAAGCAGGCTCCCCACCAAGCAAGGAGCCAGATGCGGGGCTCGATCCCAGGATCATGACCTGCGCCAAAGGCAGACACTTAACCATCTGAGCCGCCCAGGCATCCCAACCCCAGCTTTCTTTTATGTCCATTAGCATGATAGTTCTCCACCCCCTCACTTTCAATCTGGAGATGACTTGGGTTTAAAATGAGTCTCTTGTAAGCAGCATATCCATGGGTCTTGTTTTTTTATCCAGTCTGGTCCCCCGTGTTTTTTGGTTGGGGCATTTAGCCCATTTATATTCAGGGTAACTATTGAAGGATATTAATTTAGTGCCATTGTGTTACCTGTAAAGTCACTGTTCTGTAGATTGTCTCTGTTCCTTTCTGGTCTGTGTTGATTTTGGGCTCTCCCTTCGCTTAAAGGATCCCCTTTAATATTTCTTGCAGGGCTGGTTTAGTGATCACAAATTCTTTTAGTTTCTGTTTGTTTTGGAAGCTTTTTATCGCTCCTTCTATTTTGAATGACATCCTTGCTGGATCAAGTGTTCTTGGCTACGTATTTTTCTCATTTAGCGCCCTGAATATATCATGCCAGTCCTTTCTGGCCTGCCAGGTCTCTGTGGATAGGTCTGCTGCCAATCTAATGTTTCTACCCTTATAGGTTATGGATCTCTTGTCCCAAGCTGCTTCCAGGATTTTCTCTTTGTCTCTGAGATTTGCAAGCTTCACTATTATATGTCGGGGTGTTGACCTGTTTTTATTGATTTTGAGGAGGGTTCTCTGTGCCTTCTGGACTTGATCCTTCCCCAGATTAGGGAAGTTCTCAGCTATTATTTGCTCCCATATACCTTCTGCCCCTCTCTCTTTCTTCTTCTTCTGGGATCCCCATTATTCTAAGATTGTTTCACTTTATGGTATCCCTTATCTCTCAGATTCTCCCCTCGTGATCCAGTAGTTGTTTATCTCTTTCTCAGTTTCTTTATTCCCCATCATTTTGTCTTGTCACTAATTCTGTCTTTTGCCTCATCTATCCTAGCAGTTAGAGCCTCCATTTTTGGTTGCATCTCGTTAATAGCCTTTTTTGATTTTGACTTGTTTGGATTTTAGCTCTTTTATTTCTCCAGAAAGGGATTCTCTAGTGTCTTCTATGCTTTTTTCAAGCCTAGGTAGTATCTTTATAATTGTCATTCTGAACTCTCGTTCTGACATCTTACTTATGTCCATATTGATTAGATCCCTGGCAGTGAGCACTGCCTCTTGTTCTCTTTTTTGAGGTGAGTTTTTCCATCTTGTCTTTCTGTCCAGAGAAGAATAGATGAAAGAGAGAACAAAATACTAAAATGGCAACAACGACCCCAGAGAACTATGCACTAAATAAATCAGAAGAGACCCAAAACTGAGAAAAAAAAAAAAAGAATGAGAGAGAGAATATCATCAGACAGGTGAACAGAACAGAGCAATACACTGGACCCTGTGTGTATTTTGGTCTATTTGTTAGAAACTAGGGACCTATCTCTTTAAAGTGCCTCCTGTTTTCTTAGGGACAAAGTGGCCTTCATCCCAGGTGGCGGCTCTGGGATTGGGTTCCGGATTGCTGAGATTTTTATGCGGTGAGCACTGCCCTGGGTACTCTGTGCACTCCCACCCCCTGAAACTCGCCCCACCTTGCATGGACCCTGTTGGATCCCTGGGCAAGAGGCTGGTGGGTGGTAGGAACTCCTCTAGGCAACAGGCCACCGGAGAGCATCTGAAAGGCATCATATGCTTTCCTGGAGGAGGCAGGACTCTAGGTCTCCTCCTAGAGATTAGTTGAGACTGTGGCTCTGGCCTCAGCACCCCCGTTTGTACAAAGAGGAAGGGTTCAACAGGTTGAGGTAACTCTACTGCCAAGCTCCCTAGGGTCTTGCCAAGCCAGGGTCAGGGTGAGCCAAGTTGACCCCAGCAGTGTGCAGAGCACAGTGTCTCTTGAGACACAAGATCTGTGACCTTATGTCCAGGTCAACTGCTTGTGACCCCCACTGAGGAAAGGGCCAGAGTTAGGCTGGGGTTGGGGGAAAGAGGAAGCCTGTTGATATCCTATCGAACCCTTCCCAGTTTTCTCCAGGCCCCCACTTTTCTTTTCTTTTTTTTTTTTTAAGATTTTATTTTATTTATTTATTTGAGAGAGCACAAGAGGAGGTAGGGTCAGAAGGAGAAGCAGACTCCCTGCCTAGCCAGGAGCCCGATGCAGGACTTGATCCCGGGACTCTGGGATCATGACCTGAGCCAAAGGCAGTCGCTTAACCGACTGAGCCACCCAGGTGCCCTGGGCCCCCACTTTTCATACCAGAGAGGTAGGTCTCACTAGATGAGATTTGGGGATTCATCCATTCCAGGTGAATTCATTTTCCAAGCTGGTGGCTGTGTGCATGTTGCTTCTCTGAGCATGGCCAGCTGTGCTGAGGGTCATTTTGAGGATTAGGTGGGACCTTCTTAGCAGGTGGTAGATACTGTTGTTACTGTGAGGCCGAGTTTGTGAGGCAGGGCAGGCACCCTGGCCGCAGAATGGGCCCTCCCTGTTCTTCACTCCAACCTCATAGGGAGAGGCCAGGGGGACCCAGCAGGCCCCATGCAGATGCCTGGGCTGTGCGTCTGAGGCTCCAGCTGCTTCAGTGCTGTGCACATGGTGTTTGGGGCGGGGCCCACAGCTCTAGTGGCTGGGATACCCTGTGCCAGAGAGACCCAGACAGGACACCCCCGGGTGAGCACCAACAGTGCCACTCTGCTTTGCTCAGGCTCCTGTGTTCTTTGCAAGCTGTGCCTTTGGACACAGCCTAAGAGACCCTTGGGGGAAAGGAGCTGTGCCTAGAGCGGGCAGGAGGCCACCTGGGGGTGCCCCTGGCACCATGCCACCCTCACACCTGCACTCTGGCTTTGCAGGCACGGCTGCCACACAGTCATCGCCAGCAGAAGCCTTCTTAGAGTGTCAAAGGTGAGGGGGTCTTTCCTGTGTCCACCCCATCCATGGGTGGCTCTGGGGGGTCCTGAGGCTCGGAAGATGGTGACACCAAAACCTGCCCCTCTCCCAAATGTGGAGCTTCAGTGCAAGTGGCCTCCCAAGGATATCCCAGGCTTCTTCCAAAGTCTCATTATTGTGAGGAGGCTCTCACGTTGGGTGGGACTATGGCCCCAAGAGAGATCCCGGCTCATAAGGATTTTGAGGGTGGTTTGCATGTCCCGTCCACCTGGGAGGAGACTCTCACCACTGCCCCCAGCTGGTCTCTGGGCAGGGACTGGAAGTCAGCTGGAGCTGCCGTTGACCCATGGCCAGGGACCATGGCCTGGAGGGTAATGTGGAAGGAGGATCGGGGGGCGAGGGGAAGAGAGTGTCACCTAGGGCTGCGGCACAGCATGGAGTGGCCACTTACCAGCTGTGCCTTCCAGAGTGGGGTCCAGCGTCACCTGGACACATCACCCTCGTCAGGTCCGGAAGCCACAGGGCTGCTGGCCACCTCTCTTCCTGTCTGGCTTCCAGGCTGCGGGAAAGCTGACTGCCGCCACTGGCCGGCGGTGCCTCCCTTTATCTCTGGATGTTCGGGCTCTCCCAGCCGTCGCAGCTGCCGTGGACCAGGCGCTGAAGGAGTTTGGGAAAATCGACATTCTTGTTAACTGTGAGTGGCTGATGAGTGAGGCCCAGGGGCTTCTGATGGGTCGGCCTCAGAACTCCCGTCCTGGGCCCCAGGCTCCATCTGGGTCAGTGCAGTCATGGCTCAAGTGGACATCCTGGAACTCCGCCTACTCAGAGTCAGGGTACTCTGATGTCCCAAAATTCTCCCCTTAAAAGAAAAAAAAGGAATAGACTTAATTTTTTTAGTAGAGTTTTAGATTTACAGAGTAATTGAGCCGCTAGTACCTAGAATTCCGTGTATCCACACACACAGTGCCCCCTGGTGTGGACAGCTTGTATTTGTAGGAGTTGATGAACCAGTATGGTCCATGCTGTTAACCTCAGTCTGCGGTGTACATCAGGTTCACTCTTTGCTGAAATTTCCTTTTAAAAACAGAGGCTGTATTGATTTCCTGCAGCTAACAAGGTACCACGAGCTGAGTAGCTTAAAACAATAGAAATATGTTCTCTCATACTTGTGGAGGTCACAAATCCCAAACCACGGTGGGGTCACCCTCCCACGGGTCCAAGGGAGGATCTGTTCCAGGCCTTTCTCTCAGCTTCTGGTGTTGCTGGCAATCCTTGGTGCTCCTTGGCTTGGGGCGGGATCACTCCAGTCTCTGCATGGCCTCCCCCATGTGTCTCTGTGTCTTTTCTCCTTTTCTTAGGAGGACACCAGTCCTTGGATTTAGGCCCCCCTAATCCCGGGGAACCTCATCTTAATTCAATTGCATTGCAAAGATCCTATTTCCAAATAAGGTCACATTCACAGGTACCAGGGATTAGGACTTTAGCATGTCTTTATAAATTATTATTATTATTTGAAGATTTTATTTATTTGAGAGAGAGAGAGCATGAGCAGGGGGAGGAGCTGAGGGATAGGGAGAAGCAGACTCTTCACCTCTATTATTATTATTATTATTTTAGATGTGGGGAGGGGAGAGAGTCTTAGGCAGGCTCCATGCTCAGTGCAGAGCCCGACCCAGGGCTCAATCTCACAACCTTGAGACCATGATCTGACCTGAAATTAAGAGTCAGATGTTTAACAGACTGAGCCACCCAGGCGCCCCTTCAGCATATGTTTTTGAGGGACATAATTCAACCCATGATATCCATCCTGCCCTATCATTCAAGCATTTACCCAAGTGCTTGGGCCCCTTCCCTGTCCAGCCTGGACCACCCTGAGGGTCCATGTGTCCTAAGTGCCTGGGGCTCCAGCACCAGCCATTGTCTTCTTGCACACTGCAGGTGCAGCTGGAAACTTCCTGTGCCCTGCCAGCACATTGTCCTTCAATGCCTTTAAGACCGTGATGGACATCGACACCTTGGGCACCTTCAACACATCTCGTGTGCTTTATGAAAAGTTCTTCAGGGTGAGTGTTCTTTCTACCTGGGAGACGTCTCCTCTGGCCACCCACTCACTACACTCCCCCGTGTGTTACAGGACCATGGAGGGGTGATCGTGAACATCACCGCGACCCTGGGTACCCGGGGGCAGGTGCTTCAAGTGCATGCAGGCTCTGCCAAAGCAGCTGTGGGTATGGGCACCCCCTCTGGTCTGCCTGCCTGGGCTCCCTTTAGGTCCCTCTCCTGCCTGTCCGTGGAAGCCAGCAGTGTCCCGGTGAAGTTAAGCCCAGTGGTGGGCAGTGGAGAGGCCTGGCCCTGAGCCCCGACTCACACCCGAGCCACCCCAGAAAGCAGAGTAGCCCTGCACCCCCCTCATGCCTGCCTGCCTTCTCTGCAGATGCAATGACACGGCACTTGGCTGTGGAGTGGGGTCCCCAGAACATCCGTGTCAACAGCCTCGCGCCTGGCCCCATCAGTGGCACAGAGGGGTTCCGGCGGCTGGGTAAGCCTCTTGGGGAACCCCGTGCCCCACAGTGCCTCCATGGGACCCTCTCCCACCTGGCTGGGACAGGCCGAGGAGAAGGACCACTTCCTCATGGCTCCCAGGGCTGGCAAAGAGGCTGTCTCCAAGCCAAGTCTTGGCCATTCTTGGGGAGCGCACCTGTGATAGACTAATGGTTGGCCAGACGTGGACAGCAGCTCCTTGGAGGTAGAGGCCGCAGAGCTGGCCCCCCAGTCACTGGGATGAGGAATGCTCATCTTGGGGAGCTCTGGGAGATTGCGGAAGGGGCTGACCCGGAGATGCACAAGGCCCGGCTGCCTGCTGATGTGGGCACTGACCTGCAGCTTTCTTCCTACCCTAGACTGGCCACTCAGGGGTGCTGCCCAGGGGATGTGCAGAGCTGCCGGCCTTGACACATGAGCCAGACACAAAGGGGGGCACCCATGAACGCCTCCACAACCTTGACGGGGTGCGTGCCAGAGCCCTGTGTTGGCTCTGCGGCCGTGGCCATACCTTGCTGTTCCTGCCTTGCTGGGATGTGCCAACAGTGCCCCCCAGTATTCCTGGATGTGGTTTAGGGAGAGCTGGGCAGAGGAGAGTGGAGGGCCCTCGTCCTAGGGCTCACGGGGCTGAGCCTCCTTCTGCCCTTCCAGGTGGCCCCCAGGCCAGTGCCGGCACTAAGACTCTGGCCATCCCCCTGCAGAGGCTGGGCAACAAGACAGAGGTCGCCCACAGCGCACTATACCTGGCCAGCCCTTTGGCATCCTACGTGACGGGTGCCGTGCTGGTGGTTGACGGTGGGGCATGGCTGACATTCCCCAATGACATCAGGTTGCTGGACAATTTCGCATCCTTCTCTGCGAAGCTCTAGGTGATGTGTCGCTCTCACCTTCTGGGGGTCACCTCTGTCCTTGGGCCCCTTCCTGAAACCCCCATCCAGGGGGCTGATGTTGACTGTTTTGGGCCCTGATGTGTCTCCCCTGAATCCCTTGGGTGTATTTTTAGACATGTTTTGGGCACTTTTGGGTTTTGACTACCCCAACATACCAAACCATATTAGGGCAGGGCTGAGGAGGAGTCTTCTTGAGCAGATGGGTGGTGCTGGGAGGGGGCCCAGCCCAATGTAGCTGCCCCGCAGACCTCAGGGCCTCCCTGTAAATCAGGACCCGCAGCAGCTGGGAACCCCTGTCTTTGGGAGCTCCACTGGGTGTCCTTTCTGGAGGCCTGAGGGCCTGCTGGGCCCATGGGGGTAGGGCGAGGGTGCCATTGCTCTCTGCCTTCCACTTTTCTCCCACTGATTCTGGTGCTGGGGCCAGCCTGTGAGGGCTGCACACCCTACTTCTCTGAGCAGCAGATTCCTCTGAAGAAGGCGGAGGAGGTGTTGGGCCTCTGAGCTCCTCTGACCCCCAGACCTCTTGGGTCCCCATTGCGGGCCAGTGGCAGAAACACTCTAGGGCCATGGCTGGCTCCCATCCTGTCTCTGAGGGGTGGGTGTGGTGGAGGGACACTCCAGGAGCTCACAGCATATGGTCACACCAGGAAGCCATGGTGGGAGCAGGTTTCCCTGGAGCAGGTGGGTTTGTTTGTGGACACAGGTGATGCCGAGAAGCCCCTCTTCTGAAGCCCTCTGTGGTTTGGTTGTAGGCTGACCTGTCTCAGTGCCCGTGGGATGTGGGCAGCTGCCTGCTGATGTGGGCACTGACCTGCAGCTTTCTTCCTACCCTAGACTGGCCACTCAGGGGTGCTGCCCAGGGGATGTGCAGGAGGCAGAAGCTGGTGCCCCTCGGCCTTCCCCTGTGACCTTGGCATCTGCCGGAATTTCTGACAGGCACAGGACGGCTAAAGCAAAGGAGCCATTCTGAAGGGAAGCTGGTCCACAGTCCCCCTGGGACTCCTCCTACAGTGCTCCTCCCACGACTGCCTCCCACCACAAACTGGACAGTCTCAGCAGCATCTAAACCAGAGACTGGCCCCTCCTCTGGGAACTGTGCTGTGTCCACATTCCCTCCCCATGGCCCCGTCTCCCGTGCTCAGGTGGGAGTGACCGGGCAGTGAGGCCATCTGCTCACCTGGTTGTCTGCCAGGGGGACTGTAACATTCTGGAGCTCCCTCAGGAGTTGACCTGGGGTCTGCGGCTGTCCCCCCTGTCTGCCCTGTCTTGTCCTGGCCTGGGAGGCCTTTGTTGTCCTCCTGCCTGTGTCCCCTGGGTGCCCTGAGGTGGCCCCACTGCCTGGCTGCAGAAACCGGGGCATCTCAGGCTCCCTGTCTTCCCTTCCTGGCTCTTCCACTTGGGGATCTTACTCCACAAGGGAAAGCCAGACCAGAGAGGCTAGAGAAGCAGGTTTGATCCCTCCCAGCCCAGGCCTGGGGTCCTGGATCTCCTCACCAGAGTGTTGGGCTGCAGATGGGATCCCCTGGCCGGGGGACATCCATCCCTCTCAGCCATTGGTGACATGGACCGGGTTGTCTTCCACCTGCCCTGGAGTCTGTCCTTTGCTGGGACATTCCCATGGACTTAGTCCTGCGTCATTCCAGGCCTGACTTTCTAGGCCCTCCACCTGGCACACAGCCCTCTCCTCCCTGTCTGTACCACCGGTTGGCATAAGCATAGGTCCTAGCATTTTGCCAATAAATGCATTTCCCTAAAAAATATTCTTTTTACTATGAGACAATTTACTGGACTTTGCAAAAGTTTGTAGAAGGAAAAGGAAGACACTTGAATCACCAGTGTGTTGCAGTCATTTCAAGGTGGGGATGTTTCCTTTCTGTCTTTTTTCTGCGAGGAGTTTAGAAACCTCTTCCCACCTGGTACTTGAGGCCCCCATCCTCGGCCAGGTGGAGCCCACCCTGAGGCAAGGGGAGGCCGTCTGCTTCCGTGGTGGGAGGGTCTGTGCTCAGACCAGCCAGGTCCCCGAGGGGGCTACGTTACCCACAAGGTTCCGGTCTGCTCCCAGGTTGCTGTGGTCGTGATTAGAGGATGGAGCTTGAGCCCCTGCCCCAGATGCCACGTTCACATGTCCCTTGTCCCAGTCCCTTCATTCTATGAAGAGACCCTCCCTGCCTTCGAGGGGGGGAACCAGGGCAGCCGAGAAGCCACCTGGCGGAGGGGGTCCCTGCACTTGCTATTTAAAGGTGCTTCATGGGGCACCTGCGTGGTTCAGTCAGTTGAGCGTCCAACTCTTGATCTCAGCTCGGGTCTTGATCTCAGGGTCGTGAGTTTAAGTCCCACATGGGGCTCCATGACGGGCGTGGAGCCTACTAAAAAAAAAAAATGATAATAAATAAAATAAAGTAAAGGTGCTTCTTGTCGTGGAGAGCAGCATGTGGTGGCATCAAGTCCAGCAGCAAGGAGACAGATGGGTCCTTCTCACGCTGCTGGGTGGGAGTAGTTACTGGGGAGGGTAGCCAGTGAGGGACAGGCTGTCCTCAGAGCCGCCAGTCTGGGCTGCCGCCTCTCCCTGAAGAAGGCCCTGGGGGCTGCCAGAGGTAGGGTGACAGCCAGGCTCTGCTGCTTTTGAAGCTTGGGTGGCACAGTTGAGGTAAAAACACTGCCCCAGGGGGTCTGGTTAAGAAAGGCTGCCTGCTGGGACTGCGCGGTGACTTCGTGCTGGGAGGACCGAGTCTGGAAAGCAGGTTGTAGGAGCGGGCCTTCGATTCCGGCCTCAGTCAGCTTCTCCAGAGAAACAACCAATAGGGTAGAGACAGATCTGAGGTTTGTTTTAGGGATTGGCTCACGGGACTGGAGTGCGTGACGTCCCACGATCTCCGTCTGCAAGCTGGAGACCCAGGAAAGCCAGTGGTGTCCGATGGTCTGAGAAACAGGTGCTCTGGCAAGAAAAGATGGACCTCCCCGCTCAAGCAGAGAGAGGGGGAGTCGTCCTTCCTCTGCCTTTGCATTCTCCTGGGGCCATCAGTGGATTGCATTGGTGATGCCGCCACGTTGCTGATGGCAGACAGTCTCGCCTCGGTCTACCAAATCACATGCCAGTCTCTTCCAGGAATACCCAGAAATAATGGCTTGAATGCGGTGGCCCGTTGGCTGCGACATAGGCCCTGTCTGTTCGGCTTTCTGCACCAGCCCAGGCTGTCCCTCAGGTCTAGGGTGGCTGCTGGGGGCTCCTCGGTCACAGGCACACGCACCCTGTGCCTGGAGGTGAGGCTGCTGGCGAGGGGACCGGCAGGGGTGCGGGTGGTCCTGGTGGCGGCCCTCTGGCCCCGTGGCGATCGGCAGAGACCTCGCTTCTCCCCTTTGGCACAGGCCATCTCTGAATTCCCTGAGGGAATGCCAGGTCCTCTGAAAGGGTGATTGTGTACATGTGAACCCTAGTCAGAGTTTCCTGAAACCTTCGCTGCCGAAGCCGGTCCGCAGGCCTGCCAACTCCGAGCTCCCCCTTCAACGGGTGACGGTGCTCTGCTTTGGTCCCTTCGAAGCCATGGAGAAACGTGAGCCAGAGCAGAGGGCTGCCAGCCTCTCCACCAGTGTCTCGGGCGGATACACTGTTGGAAAAGCACTTCAGGCCTCATCTGCTAAAAGACTAAATGAGCAACTCCCAGCTCCTTCTTCGCTCTGGTGTCGTGAGCCACATGGGTTATTCCCGAGACGTCAGCATGACGCGGTGCACAGCTGCGTGTTTGCCTTTGTATATACAGAAAGCAAAGGAAACCTTAAAATTGTCTGAAATAAGGAGTGCTAATTTGGGGGAGTTTCTCTCTGCTTACTCCTCCTGTTGTCATGGTAACTCGGTAAAATTCAACTGCACCTTGCATGTGTTAGCTTTGTCCTTTGTGGCACCTCGGAAAGGCCCGGAGGTCAGGCCCAAGCACTAATGCTGGTTTCCCAAATGCCAGACTTGTGCTGCGCCTGCTGTCCCCGTGTCCATCTCTGGTCACTCTGGGTCGTTCACCTTGTCCCCCCCACCCCCCATCTTCCTCTCCCCTTTCTTTCCTGCCCTGTGCACTGTGGCATCTGCCAGAGCTAGGCCACCCCAATGGGGCATAAAAGATTTAAGAGGCTGAGGGGAGACCTCGCTCACACACTATCCAGCACCAAGTGCACACCGAGCACCTGTTTTTGCCCAGCACCCTGGCTGAGGACTGACATGTGAGCACAACTGACTAACTTCCAGTCTTCTACCTCGGCATCTGTACGATGGGCTCTCTGAGTAAAGCAGGAAGAGTGAGAAGATGAATCCTGAGAATCTGCACAATTTGAGGCTCAGCAGGGATGGGACAGCTGGGTGGCTGAGTCGTTAAGCATCTGCGTTCGGCTTAGGTCATGACCCCAGGGTCCTGGGATCCAGTCCCACATCAGGCTCCCTGCTCAGCGGGGACTCTGTTTTTCTCCCTCTCCCTCTGCCGCTGCTCATGCTCTCTCTCTCTCATAAATACATAAAATCTTTTTTTTTTTTTTTAATTTATCTGAGAGAGAAAGAAAGAGCACGGGTAGGGGGAGCAGCAGAGGGAGAGGGAGAAGCAGACTCCCCGCCGAGCAGGGAACCCGATGCGGGGCTCGATCCCAGGACCCCGGGACCACGACCCGAGCCGAAGGCAGACACTTAACCGACTGAGCCACCCAGGCGCCCCTATAAATACATAAAATCTTAAAAAAAAAAAAAAATTGAGGCTCAGCAGATGTTCCTCTCTCCTCTGTCCTTCACATCATTTTGTCCTTACCCTATGGATTCGAGCAAGCCTGCCGCCCAGTGGTCAAGCCCCCACCCTGTGCTGCATGTCCAGCTGAGGGTTTTGCTCATTCCTGGCTCTGCACAGAGACCCAGTCATGCTGCACCTAGGCAGCAGTGTCCTCTTGAGCAGGGCAGATGGGCTCTCTGGGGTCAGGGTTTCCCAGGTGGGGCTATGGGCCCCCTCGGGATACTTAGCCCAGTTTGTGTTGGATGCATGCAGCAGGACTCTACTCTGACTGTTCAGACCCAAAGAGAGGGAACGTATGAGAATGCTCCTGGGCCCCTTCACTGGCTCCAAGGGTAGGGTGCACTGGAGCTTGGGGCCCCAGGGCTCTAAGGCCCAGGAGTGAGCATCCCTTCCTTCTCACACCTCTACCTGTCCCTGTGAACCTGCACCTTCCCCTCACTGCACCTCAGCTCTCTCTCTGACCAGGTCCCAGCCACTGTGTATACAAGCTGTAGCCCAACCCCTGCAGAGAAAGCCAGCGTTCTTTCTGTCAGACTCGCATCCAAAGTTCTGAGGAAAGGTACACATTCACTCCATTTGGATCCGGAGTCCAGCTCTTATTCAGTAAACCGTGGCCAAAGGTTGATCACATCATATGAACATGACAACTCCCATTACAGCCGTGGGCTTGGAGAGGGGCTGCTTCTAGAAAATGTGTGTTAGCAGACCATCCCATGTGGATCCTGACTTACACCAAACAAACTCACTAAAGTCCAATGTGTAGCCCACCATGCTGATAACGTGTGTGTGTGCACACGTACTCTTCCAGTGACAGGTGAGTCTTAGGTCCCCTCTCTGGTGACGCCCAAAGGTCAGTTGGAAGATGATAGAGGCTGCCTACTCCGGTCCTCTGTCTACGTTCTCCCCTCGTATCTTGGGACCAGGGCTCTGTCCAACTCAGCCCTTCTGTCCTGGGGACCGTGGTGGAGACGGAATCTTCCCCTGGACTTCCCTTTTCCTCGCTCCTTCTAACTTGGCGCTTTGGTGAAACAGCCCCACACCAACAGGGAATTGATGGATTTCATATTTATCCCTGGATTCTGGTGCAGGTCTCTGGGAGTGGACCCATATAACCTTGCCAACGGGTAGAGGATTCTAGAACTCTTCATTCATGTATTTTGATTATCTCTTGCATTATTTCTTCAGGTAACAAATGTAATCAGTATGGATTTCACTAACTGAACTCGCAGAGGATAACTTTACTGTCAAGTCTTGGAGTTTGAGGGGCACCTCGTCACATCTATATTTCAGAGCATCTCAAGGAAACAGTACCTGACAGGTGTCTTTTTTTTTTTTTTCAAGATTTTGTTTATTCATTTGAGAGAGAGAGCACAAGTGAGGGGAGGGGCAAAGGGAGAGGGACAAGCAGACTCCCCACTGAACGCGGAGCCCAACATACTGGGCTTGATCCCAGAACCCCGAGATCATGACTGGAGCGGAAACCAAGAGTCGGACACTGAACCAACTGAGCCCGGCAGGAGCCCCCTGACAGGTGTCTTGTGAAGGCTGAGAAGTGTCCATTGGAAATACACAGAATTATGTAATGAGCACTGGGTATTATATAAGACTGATGAATCACTGACCTCCACCTCTGAAACCAATAATACATTATATGTTAATTAATTGAATTTAAATAAAATAAAACAAGCAAAAAATACACAAAACTAACTCTGAACTCCTCCACCACCACATGTAATTTCGGCAATTTTTACACAATGGGAGAAGAATGATGGGAATTAGATGTTCACATCTTTGGAAAGTATGACCTGAGGCCAAAAAAAGGACGTTCTGAATCCCACACAAACCTCTCCCCGCTGGCTCCTCACGCCCATTCCCCGGCCAAGATCTTGGCCTTGGGGGAGAGGGCTACAAAGTGCTCTGGGCGGGGGCCCACTGGAAGGCCTGTCTGTCATCACAGGAAGATGGGGGCCGGTGCCAGGAACTTCAGAGTGAAATGTTTAGAGAAGAAAATCATCCAAACCTCAGCTGAGTCAGGAGGAATTACATTGTGCTTTACAAACTAATGTCCTATTTTTACTCTAAGAAATGTACTTTACTAAATTTGAAGGTGACAAAAAAAATCCTTCCCCACTGAATAAAATATCAGTAAACACGAGTGTGGCTCTGTGCTCTCAACTGCTGGAGGCTATTGGCGAGAATGTGATCTAGACTGAAAATTGGCTTCCCTCTAAGTTTACTTACTGAACACAAAATGTTAATCTAGTTTTCAAAATTGTAAATTAAAAATACGTGTCCTGGGGCGCCTGGGTGGCCCAGTCGTTTGAGCGTCCGACTCTTGATTCTGGCTTGGGTCACGATCTCAGGGTCGTGGGATCGAGCCCCGTGTTGGGCTCCGTGCTCAGCAGGGAGTCTGCTTGTCCCTCTCCCTCTGCCCCTCCCCCTGCTCATGCCCCACTCTCTCTCAAATAAATAAATCTTTAAAAAATTATTTGGCCCATAGTTTTGGTTTATAGCTTGATTGAGGTGTAATTGACATACACTGAATTGCACTCATGTGAAGTGTATAGTTTGAGGAGTTGTGACCTATGTCTAGAACCATGAAAATACCACCACAATCACCCTGCAAAAGTTCCCTCCCACCCTTTGTTAAACCCCTCACCTCTGCCTACCCCCTTGTCCCCAAGTGACCTAGCCACAATGACAGCTCAGGGCCTGGGAGGGCAGGGCAGGGTGAGACCAGCCGGGGGCCGGTGGGGGTGGGGGGTGGCCTATGTGGGAGAAGAGGCTCCAGGAGGAGGAGGGGTACCAACACCGGGTTGAGGGTGGGGACAGTAGGAAGAGGCACCGGGCCCTCTGCTGGGTTGGGACCCCTTTTTCTGGAGTGCCAAGTGTAAGCCGTTTGGTGGTCCTGCTCCTTCCTCACCCTGGCCCTTCTTCACCCAGAATAGAGCTCAGCCTCTCTCCTCTGTCCATTTCCAGGCCACCTTCACAGCCTTCCTGGGGAACCAGCTGCCCCACAGTGCCCTGCACAGGGCTCCCACTTGACCACTGGCTGGCTCCAGTCTGGACTTTGAGCTCTGGGGTGCAGGGCTGGCTCTGAGCACAGATGTATAGCCCAGCATGGCCCCTAGTGCTCACTATAGGGAAGGACCTGCCACAAACACTTCTGGAACCATCCCCATGGGAGGGGGATTTCTCCACTTCCCAGGAATCTGCTTCCCAATTCTCTGATCTGGGTTCTCATCATCATTCCACTTTTTAAAAAATAATTAATTAATTAGAGAGAGAGAGCACGTGCTTATGTACATGGACCTTCAGCTGTATTAGTAATGTGAATCCCCATACTCTGCTGGTATCAGACTTGATTTTTACTCTGATTGGTGTCAAATGGTATCTTTACTCATTCCCTTGATTACCATTGGGGTTGAGCATCTTTTCTTATGTGCATGTAGCCACTTGAGTTTTCTGTTCCAGAACTGCTTATTGTTATTTATCGCTCATTTTTCTACTGAGTTGCTGTTCTGGTTTTTGAGGAATACTTTGCATATTCTGGAAATGAATACTTTTGTCAGTTACATCTGTTCTAAATGTCTCTTTCAAGTTGCTATGGACTGAATTGTGCCCCCCCCCATTCATTATTTGAATCCCTAACCCCCAGGCAGGGAGAAGATATTTGCAATATTAAAAACTAATTTTAGGGATGCCTGGGTGGCTCAATTGGTAAAGTGTCTGCCTTCGGCTCAGGTCATGATCTCAGGGTCCTGGGATTGAGCCCCGCATCCGGCTCCCTGCTCAGTGGGGAGTCTGCTTCTCCCTCTCCCTCTGCCGCTCCCCCTGCTTGTGCTCTCTCTCTCTGTCAAATAAATAAATAAAACCTTAAAAAAAAAACCCTAATTTTATCTAAAGAAAAAGTCAGAGAATCCAATAGAAAAACAAGCAAGTGCTATGACTAGGCAGTTCACGGATTTAGGGTCCCAGTTGGTCAATAAATACGATAAGAAACACTCAACCACACTAATAGTTAAGTTCAAATAAGACAAGATGCCATTTTATTTATTTATTTGAGAGAGAGAGAGTGAGCACATGAGTGGGGCAGGGGTGCACAGGGAGAGGAGAGAGAAAATCCCAAGCAGACTCCCCGGTGAGTGTGGAGCCCAATATGAGACTTGATCCCAGGAACCTGAGATCATGATATGAGCCAAGATCGAGAGTTGGATGCTTAACTGACTGAGCCACCCAGGCCCCAAGATTAATTTTAAATTCATAGGACTAGCATGGATAGGGGAAATCATCTGTAATGTCTACTATAATTTTGGTATATTTCCTTCAGGTTTTTAAGAACATGCATTAAAAAAGTAGATTTGTGGGGTGCCTGGCTGGCTCAGTCAGAGGAGTATGTGACTCTTGATCTCATGGGCATGAGTTTGAGCCCCATGTTGGGTGTAGAGATTACTTAAAAATAAAATTTTTTTTTTTTTTTAGATTTGTGATCAAATTGAACCTTGCCTGTCACCCGCCCCCTCCTGCTGTCCATGGCCAGATCTCATCTAGGTGATGAAGGAGCCCTACCCCAGAAGAGACAAGCTTACCTTCCAAGTGAGATTTCTTTCTTTTTTTTTTTTTTAAAGATTTTTTTATTTATTCATTCGAGACACAGAAATAGAGAGAGAGAGAGAGAGAGAGAGAATATGAGCAGGGGGAGAAGCAGAGCCGGGGGTGGGGGGAAAGCAGGCCCCCTGCTGAGCAGGAAGCCCAATGTGGGGCTCCATCCCAAGACCCTGGGATCATGACCTAAGCTGAAGGCAGACGCTTAACCATCTGAGCCACCCAGGCGCCCCATCTTTTTTTTTTTTTTTAAGATTTTATTTATTTATTTGACAGAGAGAGACACAGCAAGAGAGGGAACACAAGCAGAGGGAGTGGGAGAGGGAGAAGCAGGCTTCCCGCAGAGCAGGGAGCCCAATGTGGGCCTGGATCCCAGGACCCTGGGATCATGACCTGAGCCGAAGGCAGATGACGCTTAACAACTGAGCCACCCAGGCACCCCGCAAGTGAGGTTTCTTAACCCCTTTCTCTCAGCTCCCCTGAGAGGTGCGACAGGGCTGTGCCAGGACTCTGCTGAATCATCTTGCTGGATTGATTGATTGATTGATTGCTGGTCTTCATCTTCCCATCTCTCCCTACAAAAAAAGGTCAACAAGGAAGAGAGGTCAAGGAAATCCACCTGCTTGGAGAGTTGCAAAGATAAGTGGTTATCCAAGTACTTTTCAAAAGGAGAGTCACGGAGGTGTTCATAGACATTCACCCAGACTCCAAATCCAACAGTTGTGAGCTGAACCCCACCCTCCCTTCCTCTTCTATGTAACGGTTACCAGGTTGAATTAAAATGTGTATAGTGGGGTGGCTGGGTGGCACAGTTGGCTAAGCATCTGACTCTTGGTTTCGGCTCCTTTGGTGATCTCAGGGTCATGGGATCGAGCGCACGTGTTGGGCTCCGCAGTCAGTGTGGAGTCTGCTTAAAGATTCTCTCCCTCTCCCTCTGCACCCCCCTTTCTCTCTCTAAAATAAATAAATAAATCTTCAAAACGTGTGCATAGGGTAGGTGTGGAGGAACACATGCAAGTACTGCTTCTACCCAGCTAATTCATTTCATCTGGAATGCTACACACCAAACATGTCCACAGGCCATAGAGGGGATGCTAGAAGACATTGGAATGACTGACCAGGAACTTATCAAGTTTTTTTTTTTTTTTAAGTTACATCTGCACACAACATGGGGCTCAAACTCATGGCCCCAAGATCAAGTGTCAGATGCTCTACTGACTGAGCCAGCCAGGCACCCATAGACTTGTCACTTTGAATGTTTCATGAACAGAGTGTGTTGCACCGCTCCAAGCAGGAAGGTGTATGCCTTCCATGCTGGGGTTCTGTTTGGGCATATCAGCCCACCAGAGAATGCAGAGTTTCCCGGTGTTCGCATAGCAGCCCCGGGACTCCTGTCGTCTTTACTTCGCCCACATTAACACTCCTATTTAGCAAGGTTGACACGTCACTATAACCACCTCTGAAAATTATGTCTGGCCAAATGCATCAGCTAGATTTCAGATTCTTGCCAAAACTGGAGATGGTGTTTTTTTTTTCTTTGAACATAGTATCTTCCTCATGAAAGCATACAGCTCCCACAAGGAATCGATAAATTTGGGGAGGAGAATCCCTTGCCTCTATGTTCCCATTGCCAACCTTACAAAATCTGGTCCTGCATGCCCTGGGATTTTGTCATAGGGGATGACTCAGTTAATTACCACTCTTTCTCACTGTACACTTGGAAACAGAGGTTCAGTTTCCTTTGGTTCTTGCCAAAGCTGCTTATGAAACATATCTGGTGCTGGTGCCCACGTCCTATAAAAATACCGGTTCATACTTTCCCCTGACACATTTCATTACGGGCTAAATTTAGCACCTCGCCTGGAGCGCAGCAGCTCACCTGCTCCTAACTAGCATGTCTCCACTTTCATGCCGGCTCAGGGTGCCCGCGTATCTGTCTGGCGCCCTTGTGTCCCCACTGATCATGGTGACATCTAGAGAAACATATCAGTTGTCAAAGACAGACACGGTGTTTGGGACTGGCGATTCACATTGGATCTTCTATGGAAAAAAGCCTTTGTCATAGGCTTAAAGAAGGGCTTCAACACGCGTTGCTTCGGTTACAGGTGAGAGGGACCGCATTCTCAGGGCCGTCCCACACTCGGGTCTGCCGCTGCCTCTGCCCACCTCTGTCCCAGCGCGGGGAAATCCCTGGACCTCCCTGCGCGGCTGGCGTCCCCCGGCCCCCACCCCCGGCTGTGCCTAGCGCCACGTGCACTTCTCCCCGTCCCAGGAGGATCGTGTTCCTCGCTTATCAGTTTGCGAGAGCGCTCCACGCAGGCAGGACCCAGCCCCCCTGCGACAGGTGCCTATTTCGGTGGTATCTCACTCGTGCCTCCGCGCTGCTTGTCCACTACCGTGCGGTGCTCGGGGCGGCCGTTCTTCGCGCCTCAGCGGTGATGAGACAGCGCCGCCTGCGGCCCTGAGTCCCGGTCCGGACCAGCCCCGCGGACCAGTGGGAGAAACCCCACGGCCCACGATGCCCTCAACCGCGGCCGCCCGCCTTTGACGCAGGCCGGCGAGGGGCGGGGCCGGGCGGCGCCGCGACGCGCTGACGTCAGGACCGACGAAAGGCGGGGCCCGAGCGGCGGCGGTGGCGGCGGCGGCGGCTGTGGCGGCGTTGTTCGCTCGGGTACCGCGGGCATCTCAGCCTCGTCTTCGGCGGCCTCCTCGGCGTCCTCCTCAGAGGCCTCCGCGGCGCCTGCCCCCTCGGCCGCCCGCCGCCGCCGCCGCCGCCGCCTCGGCGCCCTCCCGCGCCCGCCGCGCCGCCGCCATGGGCCCGCGCCCGCCGCGCCGCCGGGCCGAGGGCAGCTGAAGCTCCGCTCGAAGATGGGCGAGGGCAGAGCAGGGCCCGAGCGCCAGCCCGAGCAGCCCGGGCGCCCCGCGCGCGCCCGCCCGCGCCGCCGCGGGGATGCCCGCGCCCGCCGCCGCGCCCTGAGCGCCTTTGTCTGCCGCCCGCGCCGCCCGCCGCACCACTGGCCTCGCGGGCCTGCGCTGCGGCCGGGGGCGCGCCCATGAAGATGGAGCCGGGCCGGCCGGCCTCCCCGGCGGGCGGCCCGCGCCCCGACCCAGAGCCCGGCGGGCCCGACCGGCCGGGGGCCGCCCCAGCCCCGCGCCGGGCGCTCGGCCCACCGGAGTCCGCGGCCTGCGCCGATGCCGGGGCGGACCTGAGCGCCGGACGATCCCCGGGGCCGGACGGGCGCCCCGAGAGCGCCTGGGCGCTTGCCCCGGGCCCGGGCGTGTCTTACCTCCTACCGGACCAGGCCGCCTGCCGGGACCCCGACCCCGACCGGCAGCTGCCAGAACTCGGCCCGCTTCTTTCCTGGACTGAAGAGCCAGAGGATTACGGACCGCCGGTTTGCCCGGAGAGCGCCTCTCTCCGCGTGCAGGGTTTCAGGCACAGCCAGCACGTGAGGGGCGAGGTCGACTTCTTCCCTGGCTTCCCCTCGCCCGCGGTGGGCGAACTGACGCTGGACGTGGGTCCCGAGGACCCGGACCGGCCCTCGGACTTCAGCCAGACCTGCCCCCTAACGAGCGAGCCCGCAGCGTGTGCGGAGGACGGCCCCCGCCTTCGAGCCGTGTTCGACGCCCTGGGCGGCGATGGGGACGGCTTCGTTCGCATCGAGGATTTCGTCCAGTTCGCCACGGCCTACGGGGCAGAGCAGGTAACGGGGCGAGCGCTCCCGGGCCCTGCCGTCCGTCAGGTCGGGGAGTGCACGCTTTCTTCCCTTGTGTCCTCAGCTCGGGCTCAATCTCGCTGACGTTCCTTTCCCTCGTCGAGGGAGCTTCTATTCCCGAGACTTACTTTATCTCCTTGCCCCCCTGCCCCCAACCGCGTCCTCCGGAGCCACACAAGCTGGATTTTTCCCAAACGGGGATGAGCTCCTGGCGATACGCTCCTGGCGTGGGGACCTGCCCCCAGGCTGCTTGGTAAAAGGGCCCCCTGAATGAAGACGTGCCCAGCGACTCCCCCAGCTGAGGGCCCAGGGCTGCTTGGCTGAAGTCATTCGGTCCTTCCCACCGCAGAGGCCAGACTGCGCCTGGTCGCTGAACGTCATGCTAATCCACACACACCTATTTTGAGCACACTTTACTGTGTGTGGTTGGTATATGTCCTGCCTAGGTTCATCTTTTAATGTTTGGGAGACCGTGAACGCTGAAAGTTTTCGCTTCTAACCTTGTGTGCAGAAGGGAAGGGGAATGAGCCGGAGAGCAGGGTGAGGGTACAGACTGAAGCAGAGCTCCATCAGGGCCAGCTCCTCTCCTGTCCGAGAGTGAGGCGTGTAGACAGGTGATGAGAAGGCACAGTGCCGTGTGTCGGAGGTCGCACCCCACCCCCGGGAGAAGGGGGGCCTCAAGATTTGTCCTTGGCCTGTATTTCAGCACTTAGGCAAGTTTACCTGGAGAGAGACACCATCACGCTTTGTGTTCTGCTGATAACCCGGGAGACATCACAGGTTACTGGTGTTCACTTTTAAATATTTTACTGAAGAGTAGAAAGTCCCTAAAATGCTGATTTGCAAGTTTTTATATTTTATTGATTTCTCACCTTGCAGATATTTGTTAAGTGGGTGTTCAAGTGCCCAGTGTGTTTAAGCCTAGAGGTCTTGGGGCACCTTGGTGGCTCAGTTGTTAAGTGTCTGCCTTCGGCTCAGGTCATTTTCCCAGGGTCCTGAGATCGAGCCCCACATCGGGCTCCCTGCTCCGTGGGAAGCCTGCTTCTCCCTCTCCCACTCCCCCTTCCTTGTGTTCCCTCTCGCTGTCTCTCTCTCTCTCTCAAAAATTAAATAAAATCTTTAAAAAAAAAAAGCCTAGCGGTCTTTAAGAAAAGAGGTAAAATTGATCCCTTGCTATTTAGGGTGTCAGTTAAAACATGTGGAAACCTTTATAAGGGATCCATGTATCCCCCTGAGTATCCACAGTGCCCCTCTAGCTGTTAGTGTAAAGATCTGGGTCCTCCTGATCACGGCTCCTTGTGCTGAGTTGTCAGCCCGGGAAGATGTGCATGTCTCTGTGGGCATCCTGAATGTTGGGATCAGCGTACTGCTTGTATTTTAGCTCTGTGTTGGAAGACATTGCTGCGACGGGTCTCCCACCTCTTAGTCTAATGGGCACAGAGATATATGACTGACAGTGTCCATATGGGCAGCGCGGATTGTGATTGCTGGTCCAGTTTCTTTTCCTGCTTTTCCTTTGTGCCGCTGGGCTAGAGAGCACCCCTCCTTTTTTTTTTTTTAACTAGTGCCTAGACCCTTCCTCATTACAGCAGTCAGAGGTGTTAGGGAAATACTACATTTCTTCTTTATCATAATCTGACTCTGAGAGAGTACTCTGTGGCTTATATGAAGCTCACGAATGTTTTCTCTGGATCATCACCTTTTTCTGAGGCCCTGGTAGGCAGGTGGTTTTATCTTACTCTACAGGTAAGGAACTGGAAGCCCAGGAAGGCTGAATAATTTTCACAAGCCCTCACAGATTGTCAGTGCTCTAGCAGGGATGCGCTCATAACCTTTAGGTGGCTCTCAGCTTACTAGATTTGGTCACTAAAAATATTTCCACAAATTTCATGTTACTGACTTCCATAAAATCCTTTTCATTTGAGAAACACCTTTTGTAACTGTCCTTATTGATCACAGTGGGAAAAATTTTGGGTGCTATTTGGGGCTGAGCTTTCTTGTAATCACAAAGTAGAAATGAGTCAAAATTCTTTGCTCTGAAAGCTCCTGGTGGAATTTTAAGATTTTATTTATTTATTGTAGGGAGAGAGAGAGTGCGCGTGCTAGAGAGCAAGCTCTCACGAAATGAGGGGGTAGGCAAGGGAGGGCAGGGGGTCCAGTGGAGCTCCATTCTGGGACCCTGAGATCATGATGTGAGCTGAAACCTGAGCCACCCAAGTGCCCTTCTCCTGGTGGAATTTTAAATTTGGGGGCAAAGCCTGGATGACTTGGGGTTTGGTGGCATGGACGTGTGTAGGCAGATCTGTGGCATTGCATCCCTCCTGTCTGCTGACCCAGACTGTGCTGGAAGTAGTGCTGGGTGTGGTCGTCGTAGTACCTGGACTTGGACAAGCTTCCTGGGATGGTGGAGGAGAGCTCTTGTTTTGAAGCGGATAATTTACAGAGTAATGAAAGGTTGATTTTTGTGCCTGTATAAGCTTTGCTAGCCTTTATTATGACTCAGGAGTACTTTTTCCAGGTCTGATGTCAGAACGCATTATAGAGGAGCAAAGAGAAAAAGTATTTTCTGATAGTGAAGTAGTTTATTTATTTATTTATTATTCTGTAAATATTTTTTATTTATTCATTTGAGACAGAGAGATACAGAGAGAGAGAGAGAGAGAGCATGAGCTGGGGGAGAGGCAGAGGGAGAAGGAGAAGCAGACTCCCCGCTGAGCAGGGAGCCCGACGCGGGGCTCGATCCCAGGATCCTGGGATCATGACCCGAGCCGAAGGCAGATGCTTAACCATCTGAGCCACCCAGGCGCCCCTAGTTTATTTATTTTTAAAGATTTTATTTATTTGAGAGGGAGACAGAACACAGGAGCAGGGGGAGGGGCAGAGGGAGAGGGAGAAGCAGACTCCCCGTTGAGCACAGAGCCCTTTACCACCACCTGGATCCCAGGAACTACCCTCGCTGCCACCCCCCCAGGTCATGACCTGAGCCAAAGTTAGAGGCTTAACTGACTGAGCCGCCCAGGTGCCCTGATAGTGAAGTAGTTTAAAGAAAACTGAAGAATTCCACCTCGTGATGAGTATTTTTATTTGTTTTTTGGGTTTTTTTTTTTAAGATTTTATTTATTTATTTGACAGAGAGAGAGCACAAGTAGGCAGAGTGGCAGGCAGAGGGAGAGGGAGAAGCAGGCTCTCCACTGAGCAGGGAGCCGGATGTGGGGCTCTATCCCAGGACGCCAGGATCATGACCTGAGCCGAAGGCAGATGCTTAACCGACTGAGCCACCCAGGTGCCCCGTGATGAGTATTTTTAAACTTAAAAAAAAAATTTTTTTTAATTAAAGATTTTATTTATTTATTTGTCATAGAGAGAGAGTGCACGCACGAGCACAAGCAGGATGAGCAGCAGGCAGAGAGAGAAGCAGGCTCCCCGCTGAGCAGGGAGCCCGATGCGGGTCTCAATCCCAGGATCCCGGGATCACTACCTAAGCCGAAGGCAGCCACCTAACCGACTGAGCCACCCAGGCGCCCCTATTTTTAAACTAAAATGACTGCCTACTGTGCTCTCTCTATATATCAAATAAGTAAATAAAATCTTTTGAAAAGATAGTTGTTAAGCATCTGTCTTCAGCCCAGGTCATGATCCCGGGGTCCTGGGATTGAGCCCCGTATCGGGCTCCCTGCTCAGCAGGGAGCCTGCTTCTCCCTCCCTCTGCCTGCCTCTCTGCCTACTGTGCTCTCTCTATATATCAAATAGATAAAATCTTTAAATTTTTAAAATGAAAAGTCCTGAACATATACAGAAATAGAGGGAGTAGTTTAGTGAAACCCCCATCCCAAACCGCTGCTCAGTTTCAGCAGTCTTGGTTCG